GCTCAGGCTTTGGCGGATGGTGTGTTTGGGAGGAGTAACAGTTTGTTGGCGATGAGACTGCCAAAAGATTTTTTTTTTAAAGGCAGCAAATGCAAACCCAGACCCAAATCAGTGTGGTCCTGGGCAACATGAGAACCACGTGGCTGCACAACCTGCCAGCCTAGAGTCCCCTTAGAGAGCATCTTCCCCGGGGTTAGACCCTGGGGCAGAAGAAGGGATGGGTCTGTGTCTGGGTATAACGCCCCACAGGGACACTGACTGGCCAAAGTTAAGGAGAACAGTGAGGAGCCAGTGAGCACAAGAGGGAAATGGAAGCTGGAGACTGAAGAAGTAAAAATTCAAGAGGAATGAAAGCTGGCTCCAAATGATGGAACACAGGGTGCTGGGTCTCATCCCCAGAGGTTCCCATTCAGCAGATCTGGGCGGTCTCCGAATTTGCATTTCTAAGTTCCCAGGGGAGGCTGATGTGGCTGGTCCAGGGACCATTCTCTGAGAACGAGTGCTCTAAGAAACAAAATTGTAATTCAGAAAAAAAATTGTAGGTATTTCTGAGATTTTACTAAGACGCAATGGTCATTCCCCAGGAAGTCCAAATTAGGGAGAATTTATTGGTTTTAAATCCCCACATATTGGGGCGCATGGGTGGCTCAATCCATTAAGCGCCTGACTTTGGCTCAGGTCATGATCTCTTGGTTCTTGAGTTCAAGCCCTGCATCAGGCTCTGTGCTGACAGCTCAGAGCCTGATGCCTGCTTTCGATTCTGTGTCTCCCCCTCTCTTTGCCCCTTCCCTGCTCATGCTCTGTCTCTCTCTCAAAAATAAACAAACATAAAAAAAACCCCACACATTTTTAAGATGATGCTCCTTTTATGATTTTATGTTGCTAAACAGAAGTTTCACCTTTACTTCTGACCCTTAGTATTTCTTATGAGTTCAGCTTCATACAGCAAAATTCTGTTTCTGTCTCTGCTTCATTTTTTGGCATTTTATGTAGTGGGCAGTCTACTTCGGTCTTTTTCTGCTCATCCTGTCCTGATGTATTATATTCAGCAGGTCAAGCCTCATTACATATTAAAATGTGACCTGTTTTCATCAAATGGTATCTGGCTTCCCATATCTCTTAAAATAGTAAATATCGATCTAGTCTTTTCCTCCAAGAGCCCACTCTGAGCCCACCATGCCCAAGGGCCCATTAGATTTCAAACCAGCTGCATTCAATTCCTGATTAATTTTATTTAATCTTATATACTCGAAGCTTTAGCCTTTCGATCCCAGTAGGAAAATCACCAGCATATGGAATGCATATAAAATGACATGCAAAGCAATGCAAATTAATACAAAACATACATGTCTAAATTGCTTGGGAAAAGTCTGTAAGCTTTGACATTGATATTATCTACTTTGCTTCTCTACAGTCTAGTGAGCAGTGACCAGATTCTTTCATTACAATTAATTTTATATGGCATCCAGCACCTGACACCGGTTAGCCTGCTAAATGGAAGGCGCCCCTGTCTGTGAGTTACGCAAACGGGATCCTAGCCTGAACTTGGCCACTGTTTGGTTCTATGGCCTTGTACAAGTTCTCCGAATTCTCTCGTTCTCAGATCCTACATCTGGAAGTAATGAGGTGACATCATCACAATAAAACTGCCAGCACTAAGGCTTATAGGCCAGCACAATGTCCACATCGTGTACTCATTGTGTGTTCAGGATGCACACGTGCAATCCTCACCACAGCCTGGGAGAGGGTACGATCAAGTATGCACCCCGTCTGTGTGGTGTCATTTCAGAGATCGGGAAACTCTCATCAGGCAGTAAGCGAGGGAGCCGGGCCCCCAGCAGCACTGCTCCGGGGGCCACTCAGCTGAGCTGCTGCCCGATTTCCATCTGCGTTTCTACTACACGTTAAGTCTGCATGATCTACGGAGTAAAAGTTCACATTTCACAGTCCTATGTGCTTCAAAGTACCATTTCTGTAAGATGTGGATGGTTATAGGAGTTGGGTGTCCAAGTGCCAGCCCAGCCTGTATTTACCTGAAGGGGCTCCAGGTATCCTTCCCTGCCCACTCGCTCCATCCCTTGCACATATACATTGTGGGGGACGGTCGCTCATCTTAAAAAAGCCATCTCCCTTTCTCTCCTCTCCGCTGAGGACAGGCTTCCAGGGAGGCAAGCCTGGAGGCCACTGCCAGTCCTCAGCCCGCAGCGCGCCCCGCGGACCATGCCGGTGCTCGCTCCCATGCGGGAGACGTGCCACGCTGGCTCTCACCTCTCCCCATGAAGGCAGGGGCTTCACCCGGGTCCACACCAAGTGTGGTGACGCTCCAGCACAGGTGACACGCACTTCACTGGAGCATCAGCCAGGGTCTCAGACTCAACCAACCAAACACATCTTTCCTCCAAAACCTGCCCCTCCTCTAATGCTTCCTTTTTTTTTTCAATGGCCGCAACATCTGCCCAAACCTGGAGAGAGTCAGCCTGTCCTCTCCCACACAGAAGTCGTCACCAAGTCCCTCCAGAGTCTGCCTTGAATCCCAGCACCTGCTGCCACGGCCTCTCACAGCCTCGGAAGAACCCTGTTTACCTTCCCGGTACCTCAGATGCATTCTCACACAGCAACCTAGTCTTGTTTTGTTTTGAATGCAGCTCTTACCAGGACACTCTCCGGTGTGAAACTGTGCAGAGGAATTAATTCCACAAAAGGGCCCCAAGGCCTGGCGTCACGAAGCCCTGGCACCCTGCTCGCCACGCCCGTGCCACTCTCCCTTCACGTCGAACTGGACCTCTCCATTCCACGAACCGTGTGCTAGCTCTCCTGTCTTAGGCACACCGCTCCCTGGGCACAGAATGCTCCTTTTCTCCTTCTCTGCCCTGAACTTCGTGGACGCCACTCCCACTCATCCATCGGCCCCCCTTACATCTGCCCAAGAAGGCCACCTGCCTCTATCCCACACTCAGAACATCTGCACTCCCACAGCACACAGCACTGGCCAGACCTACAGGAAGGTCTCAACAAATGTGGCCTGAGGAACTGACTTTTCAACCCTGCATCACAGAATCTCACTCCCTTGCTGCATTCTTCCACCTTCCAGCCTAAGAAGGAAATCCTTTGAAGGAGACACAATCTACTTCTGATAGGGGCCCTAAGATAAGCCCCAGGTTACCAACTAAACTAGCAGCGGCAGCATTCAGTGATTTTCAAGGGACAGAACAGATGCTGGGCACAGGCATGTACTTTCTCGACTTTGTCACCTCCCCCCATTCCGCCCCTCCCCCCCGCTGTCACAGCAGCCATGATCTGCATTCATTTAAAGTGAGATTGATAACTATTTACTACCTGTTTATCTTGAGGGTACTTACTTAGCATTGTGCTATCAAGTGCCGACTTTGACTTCTTCCCCAATTATGCCATTCACTCCTACCTACCACGCTGCTGATAACTGTGGCATTTAGCAAATTACTTTGGCATGAGTAAACTTTGGAACGAGTACAAGTAATAAACAGGAAGGAACGCTGCTCCCCATCTTCCCCTCTCCCAAATTCTTCTATCAGTTTCCCAAACTCACTACCACACAACCAAACTCTTTGGCTATTGTTTCTCTGCTAATAAAAATGATAATTCAACAGCGTCTTAACTGGTCATTTCTCAGACAGCATTGGATCCTTGGAAAGTGCAGCATAGGAAATGTTCTCTGCCATAACTCATTCATTTTTAAAGATTTTAATTCCTCCAGACACTATCAACAAAGGCTGTCAAAAGGGACAGTTAGGTTCTAAAATGCCTTAGGCTGCTAAGTGGTTTAAAAAGGGCACACTTCATGCATGTAAGATCACAAAGGGTGACTTCTATGTCTACCAAACCTCACGGGATACTTAATCTGAGTCCTAATTTCCTTCAAATTCTCGTTTGTTGCTCTTCAACTGTAGGGAGGAGAAGGGGAAAGGATAAGGGTCTGAGGGCTAACACCACCTCTGCGTGTGCCCAGGTAAGGGGACAAAACACAAGGTCCCAGCCCAAAACGGCCCGGAAAGCACCCCCCCCCCCCCCGCCAAGACAGAACTTAATTCTCAAAATTTCCAGGCAATACCGGCTCACTCACACCGTTAGTCTAGGTAAGGATGGGTAAACTGGAGAGTCCAGACCTCTTGGCTCGGATCCCCGGAGGCTCCAAGCTCGTAGGGGGACGTCCTGGTCAGCTCTGCGGCATGAAAACTTGACCTTAAAAAGCAATGAAGCTCGTCCCTGCGGAAGGCACCGCCGCGAGGTCCGCCCCACAGCTGGAGAGTCCCCCCGCCCCCACCCGAGTGGCCAGTGCTAATGGACAAGCCACTGGAGCAGCCCATCCCGGGCCACCCCGTCCCTCGCCCGCCCACGCGCTTCCCGCCTACCAGGGACGAGGACGCCCAGGACCCGGGGCCCGGCGGGGCTGGGGCTGCGGCGAGGCTGGAGGGCTAGCTGCGCGGGGAAGGGGGCGTCGCGCCCCGCCCCTCGGCGCCCCTCACCTGAGCAGCCCTTGTGCCGCGGGACCGAAACTGCCGGGGCCCCAGCCTCGGAAAGGGCGCGTGCCGGGGCCGCGTCCTCACCGCTCGCAGAGAGTCCGCGGAAACCCTGGTGCGGACACGCCGCCGCGCGGGTTACCGAAGTTGCGGCGTCCGCGAGTTGCGCGGCGGGGTCACCCGCAATAGCCCCCGACCCCATCTCCGCCCGCCGGGTGCCCGCGCCCTTCCCCCCGGCACCCGCAGGCGCGCAGCCAGGCCCGGGCTCAGCCCGGGATCCCGCTGCGGCGGCACCCGGGGGTCGGCGTCCCCGCCCCCACCCCCGAGAGGAACGTGGTGCCCAAGTTTTCCCCAGCGGGAAAGTCAAAGTCTCCGGGAGGAGAGGGTCGGGGCGTCCCAGCCACTCCGAGGCTGTGACCGGAGCCCCGCACCCGCCACCGCGGGACAGCCCTGCACCCCGGCCCCGGGCGTTCCTCGCTGGCCTGCGTGGCCAAATCGACTTACGAAAGGGAGCAGGGGAGCCCCGAACGCGGGGTCCCCGCGGCTGCAGAGGCCGTCCGGGAGGGGGCCGCGAGCTGCGCTCCGGGCTCCCGGCCCCTCTGCGGCGGCGGCGGCTCGCTCCCGCCTCCTCCCCTTTGGCCAACTCGGCGGCGCGCCCTGCTAGGGAGTTGCTTTCCCTCGGCCGGGGGTGGGAGAGCGCCGAGCGGCCCCCGTGACGTGGAGGGGAAAGGAGGAGCGCCGTCGCCGCGCTCCCGCAGCGGGAGCTCCCCGCCCCTGCACTCCGGGGTCCCCGCTCCACGCTTGGGACAAAGTTGCGAGGCGCGCGGGCGGCGCGCTCCACTCCGGCCAAGCCGCGCGGCATCTGCGCCGCTGCCCTGAGCGTCGTCCAGGTTCGGTTTCCCACCCGCGTTGCTATAGACAAGAAATCCGAGGTCTGGGGAGCCAGGAGACTAGCCCAAAGTCGCTCGGAGGGCGGTGACAAAGCAAACTTACATCTGCGACTCCTTGCTCTCCCCCAAGGCTATGCTCTGTGAGGCTCCGGCCCTGCAGGATTTGCCTGGCTCTCATTGGTGAGACTGGGACAGTGTCCCACGCAGCCGGGAGAAATATCTAGGAACAGCGTGGGAAGGTGGAGCTTTATGGCCAATAAATAGGGTGCAAAGTTGTTTTTCAGTCAGTGCCTACATGCCAAATAGACACCCTAAGGATTCCTCCCCCCCCCCCCCCCCCCCCCCAGGAAGCAGGAGTGAGGGTGGCAGGCCTTGAGAGCGTGGGATCCGGTACCAGTCCTGCTCCCCGAAGAACTGAATGAAAGCAAGCTCAGACCTACTTAATCAACTGAGCAGTATCTACAACTTGAAATATACTAATTTTATGAAGCGGATGTGATGCAGGCAGGCCAGTCTGAGGATCAGAGTGGGGGGTCCCACAGGACCAGCCAAAAGGATCCTTGGCTTCAGGCAGGATGGAAATCAAATGTGAAGAAAATTTATGGAATAGCATGAGTGACAGAGACTAGCAGAGGGAGAGTCTGGGAGACTCCAAAAGGGGAACTAATTATGTAGTGGTTGCTTTGGGTTAGGGATTTACATTGGACAGGAGTCCAGGGTTTGTGCTCCTTGAGGAACCCAGGGTTGGGGCCAACCAAAGGCAAGTGACAGGTGAATATTAGGTGTTATTTTAGAAGTCATGGAAGGTCCACGGTGTCGCCAGCCTCATCCCAGATTTGATGGGAGCTAATGTCCTGGAATGCGTTTGGCATCTGGCTCTTCTTAGATTAGTTACCAGGTGTCTGAGAGCTTAGGACAAAACCCAGAGACTAACTTTCTTATTTCCCCCTTGGAGTGGGAACATAGCTTCTCTGGTTTATTCAAATGCAAAAAATAGAACGTGAGTAAATGGGGCCTAGCAGAAAACTTTAGAGATGGAGGCTTTCTAAAAACGGAGTCCCTTCCGTTTCCCCATCTCAGATGCGGTATCTGTGCTGGCAGTTGTCTACTTCCAGAAGTCTCCTGCAGCACTCCTGTTCCCTCCAGGGCCAGAGGCTCCTAGGGCCTGACTTAGAGAACAGGAGGCCCACCAGGCAAGTCAGTCACACCGGGTTTGTGGCTTCCTTCAGTGTCAGTCAGTGTTGACTAAGGGCCTGCTGTATGCCTGGTCGGGTGGTGGAGATAAGACCAGACTCTGATACGCAGCGAATCCCAAACAGGGAGCACCGCAGAGGACCCTATATCCTTTACTCCCAGGATCGACAGTCTGTCCACGGTAGTGGAGACCCTGAGACTACTCTGCTTTTTAAAAACTTCTTTGTGCCGGGGAGCAAATATTTTAATATCCATTTTGCAGACACTGTCAAGTAAATGGCCAGCTTTGCACTCTTCTCCTTTTCCCCAATGGGACCTCCTTTTCCTATAAGAGTCACTAAAGGTCAGGTAATTCACCCTTCTTGTCTCCTCCATCTGCACAGGAAGATGATGAAAATAAAAACAAGTAAGGCTTCTGTCATCCATCTTGGGCACTGTTCTAAGCAATCTATGCAGACTCCTTCAATCATCACAAAGTTATGAAGGAGGTGCCATTTCGATTCTGATTTTATAGATGAGGAGAGGGAAGCAGGTGAAGTGAAATAAGCTGTCAGTAAAGGGAAAAGCCAGAACTCAGACCCCAGTGGTTTCTCCCAAGTATTTAGCTGTTAACAGGTGAGGAGACTGAGGCCTCAGAGACTGGCATTCCAATGGCCCACCAGCCACATCAGGCCCCTGCTCACACCTGCTTCCAGTCATCTCAAGCAAGGCGTTATGAAATCCACACTCACAGAACTCCTCCCAAAGAGATTGTTTCTTTTTCTGAATATATCATATCAAAAGTGGTTACCCATTCATTCACTCGCTCCCCTGTCTCCAACTCCCAGGTCAGTCAATTTGTCATAAAGCAAACCGTTTCTAAGATGGAGCCTTAAAAAACAGTTTTAGCATAAAGTTTGTAAATGTTGTTTTGGATTGTTCTGTATTCAGACCATACCCGTTCTCTCCCTGCCTTCTCTATTCACTGCCTTCAATTACTCCCTTTCCTTAAAACAGTGCCCCAAGCCTTCCAAAAGCTGATTGTCCAAAGCTGGATGGTGGCCACGGAAGGTCGCTGCTGCACTCTGTAGCATGCTCAGTATTCCTATGTTAGTTCCCCAGAGCTGCCATTACAAATTGCCACCAACTAGGTGACTTAAAAGAGCAGAAATGTATTATTTCACAATTCTGGAGCCAGAAGCCTGAAATTAAGGTGTTGGCAGGGCCATGCTCCATCTGAAAAGCTCTAGGGAAGACTCCTCCTCTGCCTCTTCCTCGCTTCCGGAAGTTGGAGGCACTCCTTGGCTTGCAGAAATATCACTTCAGCCTTTGCTCCCTTCACTACTTAGGCTTCTTTTTTTGTGTCTCTGTGTCCAAATGTCTCTCTTCTTTAGGGACATCAGACACTGAATTTAGGGCCACCCTAATCCAGTATGATATCACCTTAACTCCATTGCATCTGCAAAGACCCTATTTCCAAAAAAGCTCAGGTCCACAGGTTCTGGGCGGACATGAATTTGGGGAGGACACTATTCCACCCAGTACCAGCCCTAAAAGTCACTGTTAATGAAAACATTTGCTTGAGCTAAGGAAGCCAAGAGTTACACATCACAGGCCCTCCCCTCAAAGTAAGACATTGTACTTACAGACATAGTCCCTATACCCAGAACAAAACCGATAGGACAGGAGATGCTAAGAGCCAGCTGAATGGGGCCAAATGACAATCCACGGCCAAATGCCAGCCATGCTCAGGAAGTCAGCCAAGGGGACACAGTCACTGAGGATACCACTAAAGTACAGCACTCCAAGCAGAGATGGTAATCTAAGCACACCCTTGAAGGAAAGCAAAGATAAGTAAGGAGGGCTTATTAAAAGCACAGCTGTGAGTGAGGAAGGTGTGCCTGGCAGAATCTTACTTCTGAAGTTTCAATGAAGAAATGAGACGCTAAAAGGATGCAAACAGCTACGATACGGAGTATAAGAACATGGTAGATTACTTTGGCCACAATAATAGTATGTTGCAATGCCTTAGCAATTAGCATGCTTTAAAGTGCTGTGCTCTTTCATTAGTTTCATTAGGTCTTTTTTTTTTAATGTTTTATTTATTTTTGATAGAACACAAGTGCGGAAGGGGCAGAGAGAGAGGGACAGAGGATCTGAAGGGAGCTCTGCACTGACAGCAGGGAGTCGGATGCTGGGTTTGAACTCACGAAACACAAGATCATGACCTGAGCTGATGTTGGATGCTCGACTGACTGAGCTACCCAGGTGCCCCTCATTTGGTCTTTATAACAATCTGAGGGTCCTCAGAGAAAAGGACATCATATCTTACGACTAAGGATTCCGGGGCTCAAGGGGGGCAAGTAATTTGCCCAGGTCAAAGAGCAAGTCAGTTGTAGAACTGGTATGAAACACACAAGTCTTTGTTCAGCAGTTGCCTTACCAAACGTTGTTTCCCCCTGGGTGAACCTTCCAGGACTGGTTGTGTTGTCCTTGGCCCAAGGAAAGCATCTGAAGAACAGGGTAATCCTGCAAGAAATGAAAAGCCTTCCTAAAGCCATGTGAATTCCAAAATGGAATTGTGATAAACCTCGTCCATACATCCGAACTGGTTTCACTAAACCTGAGGATTTTTTACTGTATTAAAGACTCTCCTTTGAGGAACTTGACGGAGGAACAAGGGGGAGAAGAAGGGCGGAAATGGTGGGGGAAAGGGAGAGAGGCAAACCATGAGAGACTCTTGAATGCTGACAAAAACTGAGGACTGATGGATGTGGGGGGGGGGGGGGATGGGCATGGAGGAGGGCACTTTGGGGATGAGCACTGAGTGTTATGTGGAAACTAATTTGACAATAAACTATTTGTAAAAAAAAATAAATAAAATAAATAAAACCTTCATAAAAAAAAAAAAAGACTCTCCTTTGGCCTTCAGAGACATAATAGGATACGCTGGCCTTCTGAGAAGCTCAGCTGATTATCTCATGAAAATAGGGATTGATTGGAACTTGAGGGCACCCGGAGACATGGGTGAGAAGTTGAGACGTTGAGTACAAAAGACAACAAATTACATCACAAAATGATAAGCTGGCAAAAACTGATAATCACCAACTTTGTGCTGGACCTCACCAGTGTGGAGTCATGCGCAGATGACCAGATCCCAGCATTTTTGAAAGATTTCCCAGTAAGACTCTGTAGCTGTGGAAAGCAGCTGGAGGCAAGCAGAAAATCTAGCCGTGGGCTGAGCATCCGATGATTGGTGTGTGTTTTCCTGGATTTTCCTTTACTTAGTAAGCAGGTAGCTTGCTGTATCCTCTGCTGGCTGTCTTTAATGGTGTATTTAAGGATGAAATGCTTTTCAATCTAGTGTGATTTCACTGAGTTCTTACCTATGTAAAGTGCTACACTGGTTGCTACAGGAGAATACAAAAATATGAAAGATAGTCTCTGACCTTGAAGAAAAGCCCGTATCATTTAGGAGAGATGAGACATATAGATTAAAAATGGTGTAAGTGGGGCTGCAATGATATTCTGATGTAGTTTCTCATCACTCAGTGTTCTGTTCAGATACGACTTCT